CTGAAAAATATTTTGGAAATAAATTAATTATTTTAGAAGGTAATTTCCGTCAGATTCTTCAAGTGATAAAAAACGGTAATAGAAAAATTATAATTGAACAAACTATTAAATCTTCATTTTTATGGAACTCATTCTAAGTTTTAAGACTAGAAATGAATATTCGTTATGATGATAAAGGATTTTCAAAATTATTATTGGAAATTGGGAAAGGTGAAATAAGAACTTTTAACATTCCTCAAAATTGGATATCAAATAATGTGTGTTCTCAAATATTTTTAAATATCCATATTTGTTCGATGAATAGTGTCATACTAACAATGCATAACAAGTATACTTGTTATTTAAATAATATAATTCTTAAAAAATTAACTGGAGAATTTAAAACTTACTGTAGTGTAGATAACGCAACTTATAAAGGAGTTGATAAATCAGACGATAGTAATCATTTAAATTTTCCAACGGAGATATTAAATAATATTCGTGAAGGATTACCATCTCATGAACTAAATTTAAAAATTGGTACAATAGTGATGTTACTTAGAAATTTAAGTATATCAGATGGACTGTGCAATGGAACACGTTTACGAATTACGGAATTATTGCAGTATAATACAAAAGGAGAAATAGTAACTGGAGAAAAAACTGGAAAGAAAGTATTTATTCCAAGAATAACATTAGACACAGGAAATAGCTAAACATTACCTTTTATTTTGTATCGTAAACAATTTCTAATTGTTGTGGCATTTGCTATGACAATAAAAAAATCCCAAGGTCAAAGTTTCGATAATGTAGGTTTGTATTAAAAAAAACCCTTATTTTCTCATGGTCAATTATATGTGGCTTTATCAAGATGCAAAGATAAAAATAATTTATTGATTCTTGTAGAAAGGCAAAAAAATACAGAAATAGAAAATATTGTTTGGAAAGAGATTTTTACATAATTTATTGACTTTACTTAATAATTTTCATAGATAAATCGGCAATATTTATGGTAATAAATTGAAAGCCACTTATTAATGTTTCATAATTTAACAAGTATACATATATGACATAATGTATGAAAAATAGTATGGGGGCATGTGGAGGGCTGTGGGGCGGAAGGGGGCTGTGGAGAGACAGGCAAAATTGTGTGAGGGGACTGTGGGGGGTCAACGGAAAAAGTTAGAAAATGTCAAACTAGCGATGAAAACGGTCGAATTTCAGCTTATTTGTGGGGGGGGGGGCTTTAGGAGGTCTGTGGGTGGGATATGTTGAATGCCCCACACAAATAACGATATTAAATAGGGAGATAAATACCTCTCCACTTTCGAATCTTTCGATGCTTACAAGGGAAAGCTAGGTAAACAATAACTTTCTCGTCCTCAATAAGCGCCCACATAGAGCCCCGTTACAATCCTAGTTTGGTATCACTCAGACAACTCACATAGGCCTCAGCTAATAGCTTGGGAGCCCTGCTAACTTTCCGATCGGGTGGCCTTAGTTCACTGACCCCTACCTTTGGCAACGTGCGAGAGAGACAGATACCCACGTTCGATGTTGTGCCTCTTTCTACTCGTGCTTCAGGCATTTACAGCCCCACACATAGGTGGTGAGTGGTGAGTGAGTTGCCCTAGTAACTTATGTGTACTGACCAATCAGCGTTGGGTTAGGCGGATTCAATATCGGTTTTTCCCTAGGTCGTATATACGATCTAGGGAGAATGTTCCGCTGAGCAGACAGTACAGCAGTAAAGGGGCATTGCTAAAGACGCGCGGAAAATCAAAAATTGTAATATTGACAACACAAGTGCCTATCACCCAATGACCCGGGGCGCTAAATGGCCTCTCTATTAAACAATAAAGTATTAATTATTAACACAAGCGCCTATCACCTAGTGACCCGGGGCGCTTACTGGCCTCTATTTAATAATAAAGTATTAATTATTAACACAAGCGCCTATCACCCGATGTCCCGAGGCGCTTACTGGGCGCTTTATTAAATAATAAAATATTATTCAATAGCACAAGCGCCTTTCACCCGATGACCCAGGGTGTACTGGCTTCTCTATTAAATAATAAAGTATTAATTATTAACACAAGCCCCTATCACCCGATGACCCAGGGCGCTTACTGGCCTCTTAATTAAATAATAAAA